ACAGCCCCATGAGATAAGAGGTGTCATTTGAAGAAATTGAGGCTTAAAGAGGGTAAAGAACTGCCCGTGGTCTCAGGTGTGTAAAGGACAGCCAGGTGTCTGGCTGGCTCCAGAGCCCAGGTATTCCAGGACACCATGCATTGTTACCCTAGACAGTCCAGCCCAGAGAGAGAGTTGGCTTACCCCCGAGGCACTCAGGAATTCACTGGTGGCGCAGTGCTTAAGGGGCTTCCCTGGTGGCTCAGTGGTCAAAGGATCTTCCTGCCAATGTAGGAGATACAGGTTTGATCCCTGGGTTGGGAAGATCTCCTGGAGAAGGAAATGGCAACCCACTCCCGTTATTCTTGCCGGGAAGATTCCATGGACAGAGGAACCTTGGGGTCTCAGAGTTGGACATGACTGAGCCACTGTGCATGCACACACGTCAGTGATTAGGACTATGTGCTCTCACTGCCAAGGGCCCGAGTTTGAACCCGGGTTGGAGAACTAAGATCCCACAAGCTGTGAAGAGTGCCCCCGCCCTAAAAAATGAAGAAGCAGGCACAACATCCAAGACTCAAATCATCATGGATCTCAGATGAAAGGGACCCTTGAACCCCCCAGGTGACCTTCCTATCCATTGTGGGAACTCTCTCCATACTGTTCTGAGCAGGTGGGGGTGCAGTGTCACCCAGGCGGCCCCCAGGACGGATGCTCTCTGCCCCCTCAAAGTGGCCCCTTCCACTGCTGGGTTTTCACACAGTCACTGCAATGTACTTTACACGGTTCCCAGCCCCCATCCCTTCCCATCCTCTGCACTCTGGACCTCACTTCAGGTTCTTCATGTCCTGGCAGCACACAGTGTCCAGAACAGGTTGTAATTTGCCCTATCAGGGAGGGTAAGCCAATGTACACATGTGCGCTGACACCTTCCCCTTGGGGCGGCTGTCGGTGTGTGTGGAGGCCAGTCTTGGGGGGCAGGGGGGTCGGCCTGTGCGGTGGAGTGAGGCGCTGCACCTGCTGGGCTCGGCCCGGGTGCCTCTAGTTCCTTCTCAAGGCTGCCTCCTCCCCACCAAGTGGAACCAGCCCAGTGGGCGATTACACTGCAGTTCACCCATAGGTCATATAACCGCCCTGTCTCAGTCTTTCTGCCCCCAGACTGCGGCCAAGATCCTGCCTGTGGCAAAACCCAGTCGTTTGGCACCCAGACACCATCAGTCCTAAGATTTATCTTATGCATTCGCTGAAAATTCGTGTATCACCTGTACCGCCCTGCTCTGGGGCGGGGGGTGATCATATGACAGCGATGAGCAAGAATGTGGCCCTTTCCTCAGCTTTGATAGGCTGTGCTAGCCCTCTGTTCTGGTTTTTCTCGAAGGTTAGGGACAGAGCAGATGATCCACTAATATCCCAGCGGGGGTCCAGCAGGCATGCCTCTGATCACTCTAACTGTTTCACGGCCTGTTTCGGTCCTAATACGCCCCCAAGTGGCTTCAGATGGCGAGCCGGTTCAGATGGCGCTAGGTTGTGGAGATATGGCGCCCCCTACTGGCTCCCGTGGTCTTGCGGCAGCTCACTGCTCTTCCCAGAATCTCCTCTCTCTTTTTTCCCACATACTGATGTATGTACGTATGTATTCATTTGGCTGTGCCAGGTCTTAATTGCAGCAGGCAGGATCTTTAGTTGCCACATGTGAACTCCCTGGTCAGGTAACAAAGATCTCAAAAGCTGTGTGGCAGCTAAAAAAAAAATAAATTCGATGGCAAGTTGTAGAGGCTTTATTTTTTTGTTTGTTTTGACTGCCGCGCAGCTTGCAAGTTCTTCAGTCCCGACCAGGGGTCGAACCCAGGCCCCAGCAGTGAAAGTGCAGAATTCTGACCAGATTGCCAGGGAATTCCCTCTATTAATATTTTAGAACAAGAATCTGGGCTCCACAGACCATCCCAATGGGGGTCTGTGGATAGAATTCAGGGGTGAGAGTCCATGAACTTGGACGGGAAGATGTTATGTCTCGGTTGTCACTGTCCTCTCACTGAAAACGTAGTAGTTCCTTCCAGTATGCATAAAGGCAGCAGAACACAGTAGCGTTGGGAGGGCTTGGACGTTGTCGCCCATGGAATGCACGGGTATTCCCATATTGTACTACAGTTGTTGCCGATCTTTTCAAATATAATTTTCAATCATTGCTTTGAAATTACAGTAGTCATCCAGCTCATTGCTTGCTCCTATTTAATGGGTTAACAAAAAAGCCCATTGATTACTGTTTATCACAGTCAAAAATATATTTGATGATTGTATTTTAATATAAGTAATTTGCTTTGAAGCTCTATATATTGTATGTTGCACGTTTGTTTGTTTTTTTAATTCTGAGAAGAGGGGGTGGGTTTTGGCAGATGTTGAAGAATTCAGAGCACAAAAGTGTGTAGAAAAAAATTTGAAAAAAAAAATTTGGTGGGGGACTTCGCTGGCAGTCTAGTGGTTAGGACTTTGTGCTTCTACTCCAGGGGTCACAGGTTCGATCTCTGGTTGGGGAATTAAGAACCTGCTAGCTGTGACACTCGGCCGAAACAAAGATATGAAAAAATTTTTGGTAGAGCTTGTGGATAGACTGGATGGATAAGGGAGAGGAAGGGAGGAAGAATCAGAGCTGATCCCCCAGTTCGTGGTCTGAGTAGTGGTGGGTGGAGGACTGGTTAAGGTTCTCATGCAACTCCTCACTGTGAGACCCACACAAATGGCGACGCATTTCCCCATCTTTTCCCTCTCCCTGCTGATTCAGAAAGAAATTTGCAGACCTCTCTTTCAGCCTTCTGGAGATAAAAGGGGGTTTCTCCTGAGAGTCACACGCCCAGGGAGACAAGAGTTAGCAAATCTTTTTATTCTTATTTATTTATTTTAATCAATAAGCTGAGAGTTATACAAAATCAGAACAATGCTACTGACAAGATTATCTCTGGCCTTACTTTTTGGATTCAGTTCAGTGGACACTTAATGGCTTTCCAGGCTCTACTAAGGGTGAGATGGTGGTGTTTAGTCACTCAGTCGTGTCCAACTCTTTGCGAGCCCATGGACTGTAGCCCGCCAGGTTCCTTTGTCCCAGGGATTTCTCAGGCAAGAATACTGGAGTAGGTTGCCATTTCCTTCCCCAGGAGATCTTCCTGAACCAGGGGTTGAACCCAGGTCTCCTGCATTCCAGGCGGATTCTTTACTGCCGAGCCACCGCGGGTGCTGAGGGTTAGGGATACAAGTAGAATAAGACATGGCCTCTACCTTCTAGAGTTTCAGTGTAGTGGAGGAAATGAGGTCACAGGCACATGCACTGCATTCTGAGAAATGCAGCATAGAGCAAGGTGGGAACAGTTTTGTGGGGCCAAAGTTTATATAACTTTCAGGGCCTTTTAAGGAAAAGAGGACAGGGAGTTCTCTGGTGTCCCAGTGGCTAGGCTTCCAGGCTTTCACTGCCGTGAGCCTGGGTTCATTCCCTTGTTGGGGAACTGAGATCCCATGAGCCACACGATGTGGCCAAAACAATAATAAATAAATATAAAATGAAAACTACTGAAAGTACACAGATCGTAAGTATACAGCTCAATGAGACTCACAAACTGAGCACACCCATTTAACAGGTACCCAGATCAAGAAGTTGAGTATGGCCAGGCCTCTAGAAGCCCCTGAGGATCTCTTTTGGTCTGTGAAAGTGTTAGTGGCTCAGTTGTGTTCAGCTCTTTGTGATCCCATGGACTGTAGCCTGTCAGGCTCCTCTGTCCATCAGATTCTCCAGGCAAGAATACTGGAGTTGGTTGCCATTCCCTTCTTCAGGGGATCTTCCTGACCTAGGGATCGAACCTGGGTCTCCTGCACTGCAGGCAGATTCTATATGCTCTGAGCCACACATGCAAATGGAATTTAAAAATCCAGGTGTAGCCAAGGTTGGTTCCTCCTGAGGACTGGAGAAAAGGATTTGTTCTGGGCCTCTCTCCTTGGCTTGCAGATGACCACCTTCTCCCTGCATCTCTTCATGTCATCTTCCCTCTATCCATGTTTGTCTTTGTCTGCAAATTTCCCCGGATTATATGGATACTAGTCATATTGGATCAGTGCCCACCCTAATGACCTCATTTTAACATGATCATCTGCAAAGACTATTTTCAAATAACATCACCCCTCTGGGGTTCTGGGGAGGTTAGGATTCCAACGTATCTTTTTTTCAGAGGGTAAGGGGGGAATGACACAATTCAACTCATAACAATGCCAAAGAGTTTTCCTAAGTGATTGTACCAATTTAATCAGCCACTTGTTGTTCATTTGCTAAGTTGTGTCCAGCTCTTTGCAACTCCATGGACTGCAGCACGCCAGGCTTCCCTGTCCTTCTCTATCTCCTGGAGCTTGCTCAAACTCATGTCTACTGAGTTCGTGATGCCATCCAACCAATCCAACCATCTCATCCTCTGTGGAACCCCCTTCTTCTCGTGCCTTCAAGCTTTCCCAGCATCAGGGTCTTTTCTAATCAGTCGACTCTTCGCATCAGGTGGCCAAAGCTTCACCTTCATCATCAGTCCTTCCAATGAACATTCAGGTTGATTTCCTTTAGAATTAACTGGTTTGATCTCCTTGGAGTCCAAGGGACTCTCAAGAGTCTGGTCACTAGGGGCTGGAGTATTTTAAAGCTAATTTCAGACATGATATCATATGCCTTGGGAGTGTTTTAAAAGGAAGGAAGACTTGGTCTGATTTACATTTTTAAGCGATTCTATCTGTTCTGTGGGAATATAAGACAAGGCAAATAGCCCATCAAGAAAGAAAAGGTAAATAAAGAGTGAGCTTTCCTGTGATGACACAGGTAGGATGCTCAGGCCTTCCAGGTGCCCTCAGCTCAGGGGTGTGTCCAGCGACCTGCGCTCCATCCCTTGATGACTGGTGCCATCCGGTCCTGTGGAGCACCACTTGGGGTTTGGGGGATGCCGAGGGAGGAACTGGGCCAGGACTCAGGCTGTCTTTCTGTCCGCCCTCCTCCGTGCCAGGACATCCAGCAGCTCCTTCAGCTCCAGCAGCTGGTGCTTGTGCCAGGTCACCACCTCCAGCCACCTGCTCAGTTCCTGCTGCCGCAGGCCCAGCAGAGTCAGCCAGGTAAGACCCCCTATCCTGGGCGGCCTCCCCCGATACCTCCACATGACTCCCGATGCCCCCCCTCACCCCATGTGGTCCCTCTTGTCTCCCCAGGCCTGCTACCGACGCCAAATCTATTCCAGCTACCTCAGCAAACCCAGGGAGCTCTTCTGACCTCCCAGCCCCGGGCAGGGCTGCCCACACAGGTGAGTGGTCTGCTGAGTGCTTCAGGGTGGGGTGAAAGGTGTGAAGTTGGAGGAGTGAGGGTCTGCTTCCCATTTGGCCCACCCACAGCCATGGGGGCCAGGGTGGGGGTCAGGAGCCTCGGGCCCAGCGCTGTTCTGCCACTGATTTGCTGTCGGACCCTAGGCAAGCTGCTCTCTCTGTCTGAGTTGGCTTGCTCCTCCACAGAATAAGGGAAGTCAACCAGACCAGTGGCTCTTAACCCTTGCAGGCACATGGGTTCCTTGGAGAACCTGATGGAAAATTTGAGTCTGACCTCCCACTACCCCCAAAAAGGCACACGTGCACAAACACAAAATTTCAGGGGGTTCACAAGCCTTTAGATCACAAATGCTTCAGATCTCCTCCAGCACTCCAGTGGGGTGGGGGGTGGGGTTCCCTGAGGAAGGCGTCTGTTGGTTCATGTCCCCTTCCCAGACCACAGACTGCAAACGGTGGCCCACACTCACTGAAAAATTGAGTTAGTTGTCAGCAAAATTCCCAGATTCCCAGCTTCTTTTGACAAAGCAGAAGCTATGGGAAGGCTGGATCTGCATTCAGAGGGTCTGAGCACAGGCCCCTTCCCGCATGGTGTGAGCTCTCCAGGCTGTCTCGTCCCCATGGCCTTTCTTTTAGTTTGCTGCCTGCGTCTAAACTTTGATCATGCGTGCATGCTCAGTTGCTTCCGTCATGTCTGACTGTGCAACCCTGTGGACTGTAGCCTGCCAGGCTTTTCTGTCCATGGGTTCTCCAGGCAAGAATACTGGAGTGGATTGACATGCCCTCCTCCAGGGAATTTTCCCAACCCAGGGATCGAACTCGCTGTGTCTCCTGTGTCTTCTACATCTTAGGCGGGTTCTTTAACACTGAGCCACCCGGGAAGCCCCCAACTTTGATAATACTCTTTCATACTCTTTCATAATTACAATTTCAGAGTTCCCTCCTACCTATTTTTCAAAACAGCCCTTTCAAAAAATATATAAACTATTTCAGAAAACCTGAAAAGTTTAGATACTAATACAGGGCTTCGTTACAATACTAGAATCCAAAATGCTCAGAAAATCAAGTTGCTCTTGTAATGTGGCCACTGGAAGTGATTTGGCTGCAAAACCTGTCTTAACCTGAATTGAGGCAGCGTATGACTTCTTTATCCCTCTTGTGTGATGTTCACCCTTAGCTGACAGCTGTTGATATGTCTGAATATAGGGTAATGCCTTGACCCTAATTGAGGGAGAGTTTACCTTATCTGTGATATATGCCCCATGCAGACTTTCTAAAACCTGAAAAATTTCTGAATTCTAAAACACATTTGGCCCTGAGGTTTTTGGATAATGGATCAAGGACTTGTGTGTCCAACATCCCTGCACCCACCACCTGTTTAGATGTTTCATTTTTAGGGAAATGAAGCATTCCAGAGAGAACTGTTGCTTCCTTGTAAATTCCCCTAGTGTTCCTCCCTATTTTTTTTTTAATTTTTAGTTTATTTGCAGCCTAGTCATTTTTAATCTGATTCTCCCAACAACCCCATGGGGTAGGTAGAGTAGCCATGATTGTTCCCATTCCGTGGAGGGAGAAACTGAGACCCAGGGAGATTAAGAAATTTGCCTGAGTCCCCAGCAACTGGATAGCGGAGCCAGTCCTTGATTTCCTGCCGGAGAGGAGGCTACAACAGTGAACCCCCATGGAAAGAGCCTTTGGAGGAAGGAGATGGCTGCTCCTTATGGGAGTCTGCAGGCCGGGAGGGGATGTGCAGAGAATTTGGGGCAGTGAGAGCGCCCTTGTGGGGCAGCAGAGGTCAGCTTCTGAGTGGGGAGGAGCCACCTGGGGGCGGTGGTGGGGAGTCTGCAGGGAGAGTCTGAACGGCAGGGAGGGAGGGGGACTGAGCAGCCAAGGCTGAGCCCCATCCTGGTCCTCGGCCGTGCATCCCACCCACCTGCCCACCCCACCAGGCCGTGACCTGCCCCACGCTGCCCGACCCGCACCTCTCACACCCGCAGCCCCCCAAATGCTTGGAGCCACCATCCCATCCCGAGGAGCCCAGTGATCTGGAGGAGCTGGAGCAGTTCGCTCGCACCTTCAAGCAACGCCGCATCAAGCTGGGTTTCACACAGGTCTGAGGCCGCCCGCCAGGATAGGCGGTGGGCGTGGGATGACAGGGCGGCGGGACCCTCTGGTGGCGGGAGGGGTGGGGCCTCGTTATCTGGTGGGCAGAGTAGAGGGCGTGGCCAGGTGGCGGGCGGAGTGAGGGGCAGGGATTGTAGCTGCCTAGTGGGTGGGGTGAAGAGGAGGGTAGAATCATCTAATGGGCGGGGCTGAGCCTTCTGCCCGGCCCTGACCGGCATCCCATCCCCGCCCCACCGGCCCAGGGTGACGTGGGCCTGGCCATGGGCAAGCTCTATGGCAACGACTTCAGCCAGACGACCATTTCCCGCTTCGAGGCCCTCAACCTGAGCTTCAAGAACATGTGCAAACTCAAGCCCCTCCTGGAGAAGTGGCTCAACGATGCAGGTGGGACTTGGGCTGGGGTTCCCGCGCGGGCGGCAGGCCAGGGAAGGCACCCTCTCATGCCCCCATCTCCTCCCGGACACAGAGACTATGTCTGTGGACTCAAGCCTGCCCAGCCCCAACCAGCTGAGCAGCCCCAGCCTAGGTTTCGACGGGCTCCCCGGCCGGAGACGCAAGAAGAGGACCAGCATCGAGACAAACGTCCGCTTCGCCTTAGAGAAGAGTTTTCTAGCGGTGAGGTCCCAGCCCCCGCCCCGGGCGGCCCCGAGGGCTGGCGACAGGATGCTCCCGGGGCTGACGAGTTCTCTTTCCGCAGAACCAGAAGCCTACCTCAGAGGAGATCCTGCTGATCGCAGAGCAGCTGCACATGGAGAAGGAAGTAATCCGCGTCTGGTTCTGCAACCGGCGCCAGAAGGAGAAACGCATCAACCCCTGCAGCGCGGCCCCCATGCTGCCCAGTCCGGGCAAGCCGGCCAGCTACAGCCCCCACCTGGTACCAAGAGCCCCACGCGGGGAGGAGGGGTCTCCGAGCTCTGGCACACTCTCACCCCTTGGCGGGCACCTCCTGTGAAGCATAACCTACCTGGTTGTCCACAGTGTTCCCAGAATGGGTGGAGGCAGGGAGAGCCACCCTTGGGGACAGGCTGTTACATGGGTGGAGCACAGTCACACAGGGCACACTGTTCTGATGGAGATACAGGCACCGCCCGCACACACTGGCGTGGCCACACACAGAACTGTCCCCAGGTGCAGCCACCCAGGGATGGCGCAAGGTGGAGATCTCCCCTCACACAGACTGACAACCACTCAGACCCTGGCAGGGGCGTCAGTACAGCCCTGGTTGTGCACGGGACATCCCTTTTTCCCACCTAGTGTAGAAGGGGTTGTGACACTACCGAGAGGGGCAAGGGGCCCAGAGGAGCCCCCACCCAGGGATGTGAAGGAAGGAGGGACCATCTGAGCTGAGTCGTGAGGACAAGAGAGAGTGAGCCAGCCACGTGGTGGACAGGCAAAGGGATCTATGTGCACAAAGGCCTAGAAGCCAGAGTGTGCTGAGCCCAGTTCAAGGAACTCCAGTGCAATTTAGTGTGGTTGGAGCTGGAATGTTTATGAATGAGTGTCGGGGAGGGGTGAAGGATAGGCAGGGGCCAGATACCAAGTCCAGTGCTGAAGAAGCTTTAACCTGAACCACAGGCGGTGAGGCACTCAAGATGAGTTTGGAGCCTTAGAGGGACTGGCTCACATTTAGAGTGAGGCTTCTGGGATTAGGATGAGACTGGAGGCAGGGAGGCTAAGAAGGAGACTGGTGGATGGTCCCCCCAAAATCAAGCAATATAATATCTCAACACTGTGATGCAGAGATACACCTTATGCTCCTAACCACCCACACCCCACCATGTGAATGTACAGAGACATGCATGCTTCAGACCTGCAGTGGGGCAGCGTCGGAGGAGAGGCAGGGAATGACTGCCTCCTGTCGGTGGCCTAGGATCACCTAGGGCAAATGTGACGAAAGCTGATGGAAAGCCCCTGGCATGATAGAAACACAGCCTTGCAACCACAGCCCCTTTCCCCACCCTGGAGGCACAGGTGCAGGGGTGGTACCCACAGGAAGCACAAGGAAGCTGCTGGAAGACAGTGCCTTCTCTCCTCTCTCCCCAGGTCACACCACAAGGGGGCGCTGGGACCCTGCCATTGTCCCAAGCTTCCAGCAGTCTGAGCACAACAGGTCAGAGGGGGCAGTGGGCAGTGACAGGGTGCTGGGAGAACGCAGGGCAGGCTCGAGCCTGAGGTCCTCAAGGGCATGTTGTCTCAGGGCATCTATGGGCCTCGAGACTGAGCCTGGAGGTGGGGGGTGGGGAAGAGGGCAGACTCACCCCTACCTGCCAGAGCAGCTCAGGCTTCATCTGCTCCATAATTTCATATGAGAAAAGCAGGAGGCTGATAAAGGTGATGTGTCTGGGTTCTGTTTCTGTCATTTAGAAACTGTGAACTTCAGAAGCAACCTTACCTCTCTGAGTCTCAGTTATAAAATTATTATGAATGTATCATATATACAGAAGCTATATCCATAAATATAGACATAACAAAAGTGTGTATGCAGATACACACCTTTGTACCCAAAGCCCTCCTTTGTTCCTTCCTGGGGTGCGTGCGTACTAAGTTGCTTCAGTCGTGTCCAACTCTTTGTGACCTCATGGACTGTAGCCCGCCAGGTTCCTCTGTCCATGGGATTTCCCAGGCAAGAATACTGGAGTGGGTTGCCCTGCCCTCCTCCAAGGGATCTTCCCGACCCAGAGAACGAACCGGCGTCTCTTAGGTCTCCTGCATTGGCAGGTGGGTTCTTCACCACTAGCGCCACCTGGGAAGCCCCCTTCCTGGGGGTAGGGCATGTGTAACACCATATATAAAAATAATACAAAAACAAACACCAATTGTCTCTCCTCAGGTTAAGAAATAGTAAGTGGAAGTTTATAAAGTAGTAAGGGTGTGCCTGGTTCTAGGTCTAAACTCATATATAATGAGTGTTGACTTCACACCCATTTTATAAGATAGATTCTGTTATCTTCCCCATTTTCCAGATGAGGGAACTGAAGGCCAGAGAGGTGAAGGTACCCACCCAAGGGCACAACTGCGATGTTGCAAAGCTGGGGATTTCCTGGGTGTCTGACCAGAGTCTACGCTCTGGGCTATCTCAGCCTCGGGGTGCACAGCTGCACCCCCTTCCTGGCTCCGAGAGGGAGCCATAGGGGTCTGTCCTCTGGGCACCCCTGGTTCTTTGTACAGAGGGGCCCGGAGGTGAGATTCAGGGCTGGATAAGCAGGGTGTGAGCACACTCTGGGCTCAGGGCAGAGGCCCGGCGGGTGGCTGCTGCTCGTGCTGGGATTGCTGTCACCATGCAGAGGCTGTGGGACAGAAGGGCGGGAGGCCTAACTGTGCTCTGACCAAGGAGAGGTTGCGGGACTGGGCAGGTGTCGACCTCAGTGGAGGAGGAGTGGAAGCTGAAGTCTCCGTCTCTTTGTTTCTTTCTGGCAGTTACTACCTTATCCTCAGCTGTGGGGACACTCCACCCCAGCCGGACAGGTGGAGGGGGTGGGGCTGGGGGCGGGGCCTCGCCCCCCATCAATTCCATCCCCTCTGTCACCCCCCCACCCCCGGCCACCACCAACAGCACAAATCCCAGCCCTCAAGGCAGCCACTCGGCTATCGGCTTGTCGGGCCTGAGCCCCAGCACGGGGTAAGTGGGCAGCGGCAGGTAGGAGGCTGCGGGAGAAGCAGGGTCGCTGCTGCTTCCAGGGTGGGGAACTGTGCCCCCGATCCTGCGGGAGGGTCTCTGCCCCGCTAATGCCTCTGCTTTGCCTCTTGCAGAAGCACAATGGTGGGGTTGAGCTCCGGGCTGAGTCCAGCCCTCATGAGCAACAACCCTTTGGCCACTATCCAAGGTGCGTGCTGCCTTAGGTCACTCCCATTGTCACCAGCCCCGTCCCCCGGGGCCTGGAGCCCCCCCATTGCTGCTCCAGCCATGCCATCCTGCCCTCGCTCACTGCATCGCTCATCTCTTCATACCCATCTCGCCTCTGGGGAAGGCCTGAGGGGTGCTGACGGGGTCTGTGGGCTGGATGGGAGGACAGAGGGCACCGCGGGCGGGATGCTGGGAGGCACGCCCAGCCCAGCCTCTCTCTCTCCCTCCCAGCCCTGGCCTCTGGTGGAACCCTGCCCCTTACCAGCCTTGACAGCAGCGGGAACCTGGTGCTGGGGGCCGCTGGCGCAGCCCCAGGGAGCCCAGGCCTGGTGACCTCACCACTCTTCTTGAACCACGCTGGGCTGCCCCTGCTCAGCGCCCCGCCTGGCGTGGGTCTGGTTTCGGCAGCCGCTGCGGCCGTGGCGGCCTCCATCTCCAGCAAGTCTCCTGGCCTCTCCTCGTCCTCCTCCTCGTCCTCCTCCTCGTCCTCCTCCACCTGCAGTGAGACGGCAGCACAGACCCCTGGAGGCCCAGGGGGACCCGAGGTAGGGTCCAAGCCCGAGTGAGGGCCCGCCATGCCTCCCCTCCGACTCCTCTGACCCCCCTGCCTCTGTCCCCCGCCTGGGAAGTGGGCGAGGAGGCCGGCGGTGGGGGCACCGAGGGTCCTCGGAGCAGGAGTGACAAGGGAGGAAAGACCAAAAAATAAAAAAATAAAAAGCAAAAGACCAACCAACAAACCAAAAAGAAAAAAAAGAAAGAAAAGAAATCAACCAACAGAAAAAAGAAAACCAAAAATAATCACAAAGAAACCAGCTGCCCCAAAGGAACCAGAGATGAAAAACAAACATTAAAAACAAAAACCAAAAAACAAAAAGTTCCTCACCAAACCGAACAAACCAAATACCAGTCTGGAGCCAGACCTCAATGTGCTCACCCTCACTGCTACGACACCAAATAGGAACCCAGCCAGGGGCGTCACAGCCTCAGCAGGGCGGACCTTACTCGACCCCTGGCTGTAGGGCCAGGGCTCCCCTCTGCGGGGGGCGGGGGGTGGCCAGAGAAGGAAAAAGAGAATGTGCCAGCCTCCCAGCCTGTACCCCCTGCCCTGGGCCAGCCAAGACAGGGCAGAGCCTGCGGTGGAGGGGGTGGGCTCAGAACTACCCACCAAATATTCTTTTCCAGATGGTGAAAGAGAAAGGGCCTGAACAACCTTACACCAAATATTCAGTAGCTTCATCCAAAGGATGTACAGAATTTTTAGCGTTGTGCTCAACAGAATGTGTCCCTGTTGTGTGTCCCCCCCCTCTCCTGGCCCCTAGCTCTCCCCGCCCGGGCAGGGGGTCTCGCTTTAACCTCCTCCCTCCCCCACCCAGGGGAGAGTTCAAGGCAAGGCCTGGGATGACTTTTCAGCCCTTTTACCTCCCCCGCCCTTTCCCTTTGAAGGGTGGGCTAGGCCATTTTGCCAAGCTCTAGCTCTCACATGTTCCCCCTACCCCCCGCCCACCCGTCACCTCACCCTCCTCTGCTCAGGAACCTCCCACTATCCCTGGTCCAAGGGAAGGAGGAAGTTTCAGACAAGAGAGGAGAAGGTGAGGGCATTCAAGTTGTCTTTTTTTCCATCCTCGTCTGTCAGTTTCCCTTAAAGAAAAAAAAAATTTCATATTCCAGTGCCTATCCGTGGGATCCTTCACGTTCTTTGACATTTTTGACCAGAAACCAAAAAGAAAAATCACCTCGCTCTTCCCACCCTGTGCCCCTCCGATACTGGCAGATGCCTCTTCCTCCCCCCTCCACCCCACATGCACACACGCACGCACCCCAGTGGTGGGGTTCCTCCAGATGGCGTCCCCATCAGGGTCCGTGTGGTAGGGACAGTGCCATGGCCCGTGGTCCCCATCCGAGAGGGCGCTGTGGTGACCACCACTCCCACAAGACCTCCCTTGAGTCTTGGCTGGACCCCAGGTTTGCCCAGCCCCGGACGCATCTCAATGGACAGAGGAGAGACGCTGCTGGGAGCCACGTTGCCCTCCTGCTATTGGGGAGGCCAACAAAGTTTTGAACCAAAAAAAAAAAAACAAAACAAAAAACCAAACAAACAATAAATTAAAACTAGGAAAAAAGAAAGAATTTATAGATATATATATATTTAAGGGAAAGAAGATGAGGACTCTTCAACGAATAAGAAGGAGCCGCAAGGTGGAGCCAGGCCCCTGCACCAGTGGTCCAGGCCTTTGGTCCCCAAGGCGGATGGAAGGATGGATGCTTCTTTCTCTTCACAAATACCTCATGGACGTCGTCTTCGGGAAAGCTGGAGGGGGGCGGCTGGGGCCAGGCCTGCCCCTCAGCCAGGGCGGATGGAAGCGGGTGGGCAGGGCTGAGAGAGGGTGTCAGGGACGGGGGTGAAGAGCCCCAAGCTCCCTGCCTCCCCCCCCCCAATCAACTGAAAAAGCTTTAAAAAAACAAAACAGGAAAAAAGAAATGAGAAAGCAAAAAAGAATGGACGAAGGAAAACTAACAAACTTTCGGGTGGTTTGATTCCTCCTTTTGAGTTCTTCTGTCTTCTTCAGTCTGTCCTCTCTCCCATCTCCTCCTTTCTCTCATCTGTCCCTCCCTCTTCTTCCCCTCCTCTCTCACCTCTCTCCATCTCCTGTTTCTGTGTCTCTCCTCAAACCAAAGTGTTGCTGTGAAGGACGCGAGCCATTGAAATCAGAGTGGCCCCCGCCCCTGGCTGGGCAGGCGCAGAGGGAGGAGAGAGCCCCAGGAGTCTGGCGGGGCTGCCCAACACTCCCAGGAGAGGCAGACGGAGCCTCGGATGCCACCCTGGGCCCCGAGGCCTCAGCGTTCTCACTTTCTTTCTTGTCTCCCTTCTCCCACCTGGGAAATGAAACTTTCCGGCTGGGCCACGGAGGCAGCAGAGACTCAGCTGTTTCAGGGGTCTCGGGGTGCCTTGTCTGGGAAGTGGTGGAGTGGTTGCTCCTCCCACCCTGGCACCGATGGGACCTGGCAAGCCGTCAACCCATCCTCGCCAGAATGTAAGCATCTCCGCTGAACCTACTCCCCGCCCTTACCCTACCTCTGAGTTTGTCCGTTTTTATTTCCTGAAGAGAAGGGACTGGCTAGCGGGCCTGGGCCCTAGCCCAAGGGTGGAGACGGGGCCACGGGCTCATGAACGGATAGGAAGGACGTTTGAGCAGAGCCAAGTGAAAGGAATTGCAACCAAAAACCCCTCCGAGAAGACAGGCAGCATGGAAGGCATGGTGGAGATGACTCAAAAAACTATGATTCTAGACCAAAAAATAGAAAAAAAAGAAAAAGAAAAAAAAAAAAAGAAAGAAAAAAAAAAGGAAAAAAAAAAAGGAAAGAAAATCCAGGACTCACCACCACCCACTTCATCCTGCTTCCTCCCCATCAAGTCCTGCGACCCGGACTGCTGCTCCTCCTCCACCCCAGTACCCAGTAGGAAGCAGGCAGAGAGGAGAGGAGGAAGCAGGGGGCAGGGATGGGCCTATGCCCTGACATTGGTGGAGGGACCCCCGTGCAGCCAGGGTGGTGGGGACCCTCCCCATCCAACCCCCATTATCTGGGAAAAGAAAAAACAAAGAGAAAAAGAAAATTCCTGGGAGGGGGAAAAAATAACCAAATCCCAAGCTTTAACTACAGCTGTGAAACCAAATATTGGGAAGGGGGTGGGAGGGAGGGAGGGGCAAGTGTGCCCCAGGTCTCCCCCCTGGGCCCCCCTCCCCCGAGGACTCGAGATAAGGCACCAAATACCTCATAGAACTTTAATGTTAAAAAATGGAAACCAAATATCGTTGGCTGGGGGCCAGCCAGGGCAAGGGGCTGGGGGGCTGAGGGAGCCAGGGTTAGGAAGGTGATGGGGGAATTCATGCCCCCCACCTCCCTCTGCCCCTTCCACTCCAGCCTCCCCCGTCTCGACTCCGGGAAACAAAACTATCTCATCGTTTTTATTTTGTGGTCTGTACAGAGCCTGTGTCCGTGTGTCTGTGTGCGAGCGAGAGAGTTGGGGGGCTGGGGAACTTTATGTGGGGTTGGGGAAGGAGACCCCAGGCCAGGTTCTGGGCTAGGGGAGATGTCTGAGGTGGGGGGCCAGGGGCCTGGGCTAGGAAAAAGGATGAGTGGACTGGAGAAAGTGGGAGCCCTCAATTTCTCCTCCCCAACCCTGAGCTCCTTACTCAAGGGAGGGACAGAGACTGGGTCTACCTAACGGTGGACCTTTTAATTGTGCCAAAAAAAAAAAAAAATGCCAGTAACTAGAACACCTCTCTCTGGTCTCTTCTGGGAGGGTGGGGGCTGGAAGTGGGAGGAAGGACTACAGGAGGGTAAGTGGGGTCAGTGGCGATGAAGAACCCAAGGCTCTGTATGAACTGGGGCTACGACCAGGAGGAGGGGTAAGGCTCTGAGTTTCCCGCATGTCTCCTCCCTGGGGAAGGCCAAGAGAGGGTCTCCAAGCCCTGCACCCTGGGAAGATGGGGTATGGGACTAGCCATGTGGTGAGGGCACCTCTTGAACTGGCTAGATCTCCTCCCCTACCCAAATCCCAGGGTGCCTCTCTCCCTTTAGCCCAGGGTAGGGAGAGCTGAGTGAGAGAGAGAGTGAGACAGACTGAGTAAGACTGAGACACGCGGGCCCCCACTGGCCTCCGAGTGGGAAAGGCAAGTGCGAGAGATAAAGGCCTCCAAGAGAAAAAAGAAACAAACCAAAGATTTAACCATTAAAAAAAAAAAAAAACCCACAGACAACTCCGCTACCTTTTTATACGTTGGAAAAAAAAGTGAAAAAAATTAAAAAATTAAAATTAAAAAAAAAAATAAACAAAAACTCCAAGCCGCAGTTCCTTCATGCGGTTTGAACTTTGACCTCAGCAGTCTCCAAAGCAAGATGACGATGAGAAAGGGGAACAAAAGAAAGAAAAAATAATGTATATTTTTAAGTATTTGTCCTTGAGATGTTAGCTCCTTGTTAAACGAACACAAAAAGGAGAGCAAAATCCAGAGAGAAGCGTTGCTGGGACGGAGACAACTATTTACTATGTCTGTGACCCCTCCCCTCTGCTTCCCCTTCCTCTCCTTTCCTCTGTCCCTGCTGTCCCTCCCCCAACCTGTCCCCCCAAGCCCAGGGGCTCAGTATTTATTTATTTATATGATTGCAGGGTGACTGGGGGCCTCTCTCGGCAACTTGTGGAGAGGCCCTTTGGATCATGGTAGGGTGGGGAAGGGGCAAGGGGTCTGGAGAAAAGCAGGAGCCTGATCTTTGGTCAGTTCCTCTCTGCCGGCTCCCTTCTGGCTTCTCATGGCACTGCTGCCACCTTCACCTCCCAAATCCAAGGCTTCACGAGGGCAAGGAGACCATCCCACCTTGTGAAGATGAAACTGGTTCAGCCCTTTCTGGGGTGGGTGTCTCTCCCCTTTGAAAGACCAGGTTCGAATGGGGAGGGGAAGAGGTGGCGAGTAGTGGGCAAGGGAGACCAGGGAGTCGTACCCAGACATGGAGCAGGCCCTGGAGGAGACCTGCCTCTCCTCCATTCTCCCCAAGTTAGCCCCCTTTCAGTTCTGTTTGTCCCCTGTCCCCCTCCCCCCGCCCGTCTCTTCTCGTGGTAGCGGGTTAGCGTTTCAGTGTTCTTAACTCCAATCTGCTTGTTCATTGTACAATGTGCTTCTTTTAAGGCCCCATTTTTGTAACTTGAGTGTGTCATTCATCTGAACAACATCAAAAAATAAAAAATGAAAAACTGTACAGAGAGAAACATTGCCTGCTGTCCTTGGTCTCCTATCTTGGGAAAGGTGGTGGGGAAGTCAGGGTGTGGGGGTAGGCGTGGGTGTGCCCGGGAGGGGAAGGCTTTACGGCTGTTGAATGTTCAGAAGTAAGGCCTGAGCAATTTTTTTTCCACCAATTAAAAAAACAAGTCTGGGATCTTAGAATGAATTCAAATTCCTGAACTTAAATCTCACTTCTGGGGACCTCCCTTGCAATCCATGGTTAAGACTCCATGTTTCCACTGCAGGGTGCTCGGTTTCGATCCCTGGTCGGGGAACTAAGATCCCACGTGCCCGTGTGACACAAACAAAAGAAATAAATCTCTTAGGCCATTTTATAGATATGTGTGACCTTCAGTATGTGACCTTCAATGTCAGCATCTGTAACACAGGGACAATATGTAGGATAAATGAGTACTATGAGAAAATCAGGAAGCCAGAGAGCAGTTCCCTACTTCCATCCACAGAAGACTTAAGAGACCATTTAAAGAGTTGACTTTGAAGTTGTCTGGTGAAACAAGATACACACCTGACTTCTTTTTCAGAATGACATTAGTGCTCTCACTCAAATTTCCGTGCTTGTCATTCGGCAGGAACTGTTTCACACACCAGACCATGGGTTGAGCCCCAAGATCTCACTGCTGAAAGTCATCAGTGGGTCGTCTCACTGTCGTCAGGTCTTCCTGTCATCACTTTACCCTCTGAAGTGTGCCTGACACAGAGGTGCTGGGATTCTGTAAACTCAATAGCAAGGGACAGGGGAACAGAAGAAAGGAAAAGAGTAGGAGAGGGTTTGATCATTTTGAAAGAGGACAAGTATTAGCACTTTGGGAATTCCCTGATGGTCCAGCGGTTAGGACTCTATGCTCTGTGCTTCCACTGGAGGGAGGCACAGGTCCCATCCCTGGTAAGGGAACTAGAATCCTGCAGGCAACATTGTGCAGCCAAAAAACAAAAAATTATCAGCACCACACTGTTTTGGCAAGACAGAAAAGTGCTTCTCCAATTCTCAAGCCAAGTCAGTAGACAGTGGCATGTTGGGCTGGAAGACACGTCTTTTGTTCCAGTCCTCTGCCTGTAGGGGGATGCAGTCAGAACCATATAGACCTAAAAGGACTCTCTCTCCCAGGCCAGTCTGTGACAATCACAGATGGCACATGCAAGAGCACTCTGGAGCTGAACTTGGCGGCATCCACTTGTGGCCCTGTAAATGTGCTCAACTGTTCCAAGCAGCCTCCCCTGTATGGTCATACTTGGGCCTCACACATCTTGAAGAACATGTTGTCACTAGAGGACCACCATTCTGTTCCCCTGAGTGCTCTGCTTAAGCAGCTTCTACATCTAACTAAAAAAATCTAGCAACGCAAGGTTCTTTGTAGAGTCTTCAAGTCACCACCACCAAAACTGCTGTGTTCAAAATGCAGATTCATAGGTCTCATTGAGACAAGCTGCTGGATCCAAATTTCTGGGGAAATTCCCAAACATAAAGAGCCTTTGCCTGTCCAATTCAAACTCCAGCATCCAACAAGGGTTTGATTAGTGCATCTTCTTTAGGACCATGGTCCAACTGAAGACTCTGGAAGTTTCAGTGGGGTGAACAATGACTTGTTTACATAAACATGTTTGTGCACATAAACTTTTCTCAATGAGGGAATCTTAAAAAGTTTTCACTAGAGGCTCTAGAAAGGAACCACAATAGAGGAAGGGTGATCCCTGCCCCCCCACACTGTCACAGAGCTTGCTTCTCTGCTGAAAGCATCTTTATTGTGGAGCCAACCAGAACCCTCAGGGTTTTTCCCTCCATTCCTGTCCCTTGATTCAGCCTGATTTTTATCTGGTTTTGCAAAGAGAAATCCTTTAATTTGTTCTAAGTATTTATTTGACATAACTTTCTCGATGTTACAGCTCTTCTTGAAAGCAAGCAGTTTGAGAATGAATCTTTACTTGTGGATTAAGGGGCTCTGGCATGCTGGGCTAAGGTGGTTCGAGTCCTTTCTGTAGGGTATGAGGTTATTAAAAGATGAAGCCCACGATCAACACACTCTGGTAGAAAACAATGGCTTAACAGATAAGTGCTGTTCTTCATTAGGAGCTTTCAAGATATCAAAAGGCTGAGCGCTTTACCATTTAAAAAAATGAAGCCTAAGCCTAAACCCCAGTGCCCAGAGGGCTACAGGATTGCTGAAGGTAGTCAATCAAGAGCAAGGGAGAGGCAGAGGGGGCAGCTCTCAGGCCTCCCTTTCCACTGGTCTCAATGCAAAGAGCTTCCCTTTACCTCTCATTCACTAGGGTTCCAATACTAATCCTAACAAAAAGACTGGAGTAACCCTGGGGGTGGGGCTGTTAAGTTTTCTTGGTGTGGCTCTTAGAGACAAAGACTAGCATAGAAGCCAGGCACTTCCAGTCACACACTCACCATCTCTCTCCTCCACCGCCCTCCTCCTCAAGGATATAGAAGGCAGCAGAACTTAAGAGGAAAGCAGAGGTGATTAAGTCAAATGAAACTATGCTGAAATTCAAGCTCTGCCCTGTGTGGGCTGAATGACCTTGGGTAAGTCTCTTCACTACTTTTGACTTCAGATTCCTTTCCTACAAAATGTTCTCTTCACGGGACCAGGGTGAAGATTTCAAAAAACGTAGGAAAACACTTGAGACAAATTAGGCATTCAGACATCAGCCAGCCACCCCAACCACCTCTCCCACCACAACAAGCAACTGTTAGCTAACTCCAGGTGGGTGTCAGAGCACCTTCCTACCCCCAGAAACTGTTCACCTTCTCCAGCCCCACAGCTGGATCTTGTCCCAGAAGCTACCTCCTCTACTGCCCCTGAGATCATAACTTTCCAACACGTGCATTTGCCTTCAGGGGTCCATGGTGAGAACACCAGATGGCCTTGGAGGAGACCACTCACATCAGGCCAGAGTAGGGGTGACAGGGTGGTAAGAACCACCTGAAGACTTTTTCCTAAATGTTCCTGCCCCCCAGCAGAAACAGCTTCAGGTTTTTCCATGGGGCTGTGGGGACCTCTAGTGGTCAGAGAACCACACTGCCCCTACCTATGACCAGAGGCAAGTCCCTGCTCCGAGAGCCCACTGACTCCACGTCCTCCTCTGCGTTCCCGTTTACTGAGCTCCACTGCTTGCCAGGCTCTGCTGTAGGCACTGGGGATGCAACCATGACAAGTCAGACCCAAGAACCTGGGGGCTCACAGTTCTCAAGTTCCACCATCCCACACTGTCAGGCCAGACAATAGCACGTAAATGTCCAACTCAGTCTTTATTGACTGTTTTACCTTGGGGCCACCAGTGCTAACAGGTGTGGGGGGGGGCACCTTTATTCACGTCAAGGACCCTAGAGCACCCCCTCAGAAGACAATAAATCCAGTTACAGAACTTACATGGCAGTTGGGAGGAGTGGAAAGGGACACAGTATGTACAGAGACCTAAGGGGATGGTGGAGCTTCAGCAACCGGGCCTGGTGGTGCTGAAGAGGGAAACGAGGTGCGGTCAGCCAGTGATCTGGACCCCCTCGGCCTCAGCCAGAGGGTAGATCTCAATGGCCTCCACCAGGGGCAGAGCCTCCACTGCAGTCTCCATCACAGCCAGGCCGACGGCGGCCTCGGCCTCGGCCAGCTGCTGCCGCACAGCTGCCTGGTGCTGCTGCTGGTGGGTCTTGCGGTGCTTCCACAGGTTGGAGAAGGAGCGGTAGCTCTTGCCACAGTCGGGGCACGAGTAGGGCCGCTCGCCCGTGTGGATGCGGCGATGCTCTGCCAAGCGCATGGAGATGGCAAAGGCCTTGCCACACACTTCACAGGCGAACGGCCGCTCCCCGGTGTGCAGGCGGCGGTGGTCCTTCAGGTGGGTACTCTGACGGAAGGCCTTGCCACAGTCCGGGCACGGGTACGGCCGCTCGCCCGTGTGGATTCGCCGGTGCACCTGCAGTGACGTCTCCGTGCTAAAGAGCTTCTTGCACT